ACCAAGGCAAAGGAAGACACTTAGAGGAACACAAAAAAAAAAAAAAAAAGAGGCAACCACAGTAAATACTATAGTATATACAACCCTGCAACAACAGTAAAAACTAATAATAACTTACAAGCAGATACATAGGCAGATACTTATGCTAAACAGGGGAAGGAGGGTGTATAGGAATATACTCACATACATATATAGGTTAGGCTGTGGTTAATTTTACATACATACTTGTATGTACAGCATGTATTTTCATATATATAATAAAGCACAAAGGGGCCACAGTCATAGAAGCTTCCTAGACGCATCCAAACACCTTGAGGGACCGAGTCACTGTGGGGCTTAGTTCTATGGTCTCGGGGGACATCTAGGTCAGTTAGCATAACAGTTGATAAAGAAAATGTTCTATCTACATCCTACTTTGGAGAGTAGCATCTAGGCTCTTAAAAAGCTTGCGAGGGGCCAGCCAAGACACATCTATTGGTCCCATCCCATCCAGACCAAAGGAGAATGAAGAAAACCAAAGACACAAGGTAAATTAGTCCAAAGGACTAACGGACCACGTGAACCACAGCCTCCACCAGCCTCAGCCCAGAACTGGAAGGTGCCCAGGTACCACCAACCACACTGATAGGGATCACAATAGAGGGTCCTGTACAGAGCAGGAGAAAAATGTAGACAAAAATGCAAACTCACAAAAAAGACCAGACTTACTGGTGTGACAGAGACTGGAGGAACCCTTGAGACTATGGCCCCTGACACCCTTTTAACGCAGAACTGAAGCCACTCCCAAAGTTCACCTTTCAGCCAAAGATTAGATAGGCCTATAAAACAAGCAATAACACATGTGAGGAATGTGCTTCTTCTTAGATCAAGTACAGGAGACAAAATGAGCAACACCTGCCCAAAAGCATAGCCAGAAGGCAGGAAGGCTCAGGAAAACCTGAGGAATGGAAACGGGGATCTCGGGGTGTAAAGGGGAGAGTGCTGACTCATTGCAGGGGTTGCAACCAATGTCATGAAAACAATTTATGTATGAATTTTTGAATGAGAAACTAATTTGCTATGTAAACTTTCACCTAAAGCACAATTGGGAGGAAAAATAAAAACCCTCTGGAGCAGTTCTACTCTGCACACGTGGGGTCGAATCGCAACTAACAACAAGAATCCACAAACAAGATGAGACCTCACCACCAGCTTGTACAAATTTCCAGCACTTGCAGTCAGAGAACAGAGACACTAGGAAGTTGCAATGACATTCCTGCTGTTTCTAAAACCCAGAGGACTTTTGTTCCTTCTTACAAATGCCCAGTATTTACCAGGTTCTACTTACCCGGGAAGGAGCCATGGTGGCAGAGTGTTAAGTGTTCGGCTGCTAACCAAAAAGTCTTCAGTTACAGCTCACCACCTACTCCTCCAGAGAAAGATGTGGCAGTCTGCTCCCATAAAGATGACAGCCTTGGAAACCCTATGGGGCAGTTCTACTCTGTCCTGTAGAGTAGCTATGAGTTAGAATCGACTAGAGAGCACAGAACAGTAAGAACACTTACCTAGGATTTTACCCTTTACTGTCTCAGACGAATCCATGAGGTTCATCTTCTCCAAGCGGGTCAGAGTCACAATCCTTATCCAATATTTTGGGGAGTTTCTTTAATCAGAATTTCTGCTAGTGTCTTGCTATTGGCCTCTTCCGCCTCAGACCACGGTGTCTGCTGAAGCTCTCCTTGCAGGGGAAGGACCTGCAACCGAGATTTAAATCTCCTCAATTCGTCCTAATTCAGCTGCTCCAGAGGAGGTTGCAGGCTAAACTCCGCCTGTAGTGACATCATACTGCCTCAAATGTATGACCTTAGGTTTGGGGACTGAAGAAGAATTGGGGAAGGGAAGGGGAAAAGAAAAAAAAATAGCTAATCAGATCAAACAGGACCCTTAATGGGCAGTGAGTTTATGTTAATGGAGGAGGAATAACTGAGAAGGGTGAGAATGATTGTACAGCTTGAAGAATGTAATTAATGTCACTGAAGTGTACATGCGGAAACTGTTGAATGGGTGTGTTTGGTTATGTATACTCTCTACAACAACAATAAATAAAATAAAAAATAAAATAGTGAATCAGCATCTTTATATGAAATACCAGTTATCTTTGCACCAGGAGCAAGAATATTCTCAAGCACCTTCAAGAATATCTGCTCCTTAAGAATAACTGCCCCCCCTGGAGCAACAGAGGAAGGAAAAGTCTGCAATAGGAGGAGGATATGCAATGTATGCTCTGTCTTCCGAGGCACCTCTGGATGGGTTTGAACCACCAACCTTTTTGTTAGTAAGTCCAGCGCTTACATGTTTCCACCACCCAGGGACTTCTACAGAGAGTTGTTGTTTGTTGTGTGCCATAAAAGTAGATTCCAACTCACAGTGACCCCATGTGACAGAATAGAACTGCCACCTAAGCTTCTCTAGGCTCTAACCTTTATGAAAGCAAATTGCTAGGTCTTTCTCCTGGGGGAGCTTCTGAGTGGTTTGGAACCTCCAATCTGTCAGTTAGCAAACAAGAGTTTAACCGTTGTGACACCAAGTCTCCTTAAAGAGAGAAGTACCCATCCAAAATTACAGTAGGAATGGGGATTGACCAAGTATTAGCATTTTTGTGCAACGGAAATGTTCTGAAATTGAATTGTGGTGATGGTTGCACAACCTTATCTATCTACTAAAAAATCATTGACTTGTACACTTAAAAGGGTATAATTTATGGTACGTAAATTACATTTTAATAAAGCTCCTAAAAATGAAAATATTAGAATAACACACTGAACCACTGGTAGCTGTAAGGACAAATACAAATAGAAAAAAATTGATTTTAATTCTCCCTGTTGAAAATAAGAGAAAAGGCTCTCCACCTCCCCTAGTTCTTTAAGAATTCACTGTAGGCATATTATCATTGTAAATTCTCTCTGTCTCCGAAAAGTATGTAAATCAAGAACGTTCCCTCAAGGACAAGGGAGCCAACTCTTTTGAAATGTAACCAAAGAAGACCACACCCCCACCTCCCAATTTCCTGGAAGGACACTCCCACAACCTCAGGTATCCAGCCAAAAAAGATAGGAGAAAATTAGCAATTTTATCCTGATGCCGTGAATGCAACAGGTTGCATCCACTTAGCTACATAAAGGATCAGACTTCTGTCTGTCTTTGAAACTTCTTTAGTGGATTGCTTGTGATTGTTGAATAGGAAATAACAGACATCTTTAAGGTTTTTCTTATCCACAAAACCAAATATTTACCATAAAAAGCTGAGCCAAACAACAAAAGCCTACCAGGTGCTGCTCTATAGCAATGTAAATTTGTCTTATCTTGCTAGAAAAGAATAATTGTCAAACCACTACCTCCTAATTCAAATTTCAGAAAGCCTCATGGCTGCAGGCCGGTGAATGGCCAAACTATTAGCAGCAAGGCCAAAGTTAACTTGCTATCAGTGGATCTCAGTAAAGGGGGGAGGGCAGGGTTCAATCAATCCTGTTAAGATTAGCCAAAGGTTGATCTTCTATTCTTCTCCCTCCTATTCTCTTTATAAGTCCCACTGTACCTAGCTTCTTAGAGTCACTTGCTTTTTCTGCAATCAAAATGGCCTCCCTATATGCATACAGAATAACTGCTCAGAATAAACCTTATGTTCAAATTTTGGTGAGTTTTAATTATTTTTAATATGATGCATCACATTCTGCTTTAATGATTATTCAATCATAAAATTGTTCTATTTTTGTGGGGAGATATCCAGAGCTGGGAGATTTTGTTTTTAATAACTTTTCCCCAACACAACTGCCCCCTCTAAACCCATTTACTGAAATTAACAAAGGGAGATTTCGGCACTAGGACCTCAAAAATCCTTCTGGAAGTTTCATCCCAACAATTAAAGTTTCCAAAGTCCTGTGGTAGAAACTCAATCAACATTTACCGTTCACTTAAAAGAGAAAAGAAGAAAAGATGTTTACCTCCCTTAAGGCAGGACTTACTTCCTGTCTGTGGGTATTACAGACACAGGAAGTCTCCAATAAGAGGGCGCAGCTGCTCGTTCGGATGCTGTGATTGGCTCTTGCGAGTCGGGGGGAGGGGGAGAGGGCGGGGGGCAGAGGCGGGCCTTCCTGTACAGAATGCAATTGCTTCCATTGTGATTACCAGTTGGTTGTTCTCAACTTTTAATGTGAGACTTGCATAGGGATCACCTGGACCCTTTCCTCACCACTCTGATTTAATTGGTTGGGGTAGGCCTTAGAGAATCAGGAGCTTGCAAAAACTCCCCAGGTGATTCTAATGTGCAATCCTTTTCCTAGCCTATGGTCAGGCTTCTCAACCTTAGCGCTATTAACGTTTGGGATGGATGATTCTTTGTTGTGGGGCGATGCCCCAGACATTGAAGGTTGTTTAGAGCGTTCCTGGCCTCTACCCACTAGATGTCAGTTGCTGTGACAACCGAAAATGTCTCCAGACATTGTCAAATATCCTACAGAAGCAAAATCACTCCCTTTTGAGAACCCCAGATGTAATTGCAATTAGCTGCCTCCTTCCATACTTCTTGCTGTTATTGCAGTTAAGTCTATTCCGACTCATGGCGATCCGGTGTGTGCAGAGTAGACCTGCTCCATAGAGCTTTCAAGTCTGAGACCTTTCAGAAGCAGATCACCAGGCCTGTCTTCCGAGGTGCTTCTGGGTGGCTTGCAACCATCAACCTTTTGGCTAGTAGTCGAGCACTATTGAAATACATGCCTAGTCTACATTAAATTTACATATCCTAAGTTGATGACATTAATTTATAATGACAGTTGATGACATTAATTTATGTTGACATTAAAATGAGAATATTAATTTGATTTACTGCTTTGCCTATTTGGAGGCCTTTTTCCCGCCAGGAATTTCACTTGAAGACTTTCCGGGCACTAGAACTGGAAATTAGCCTATGTCCATATAAGAGAGAGAAAAAAAATTAAACAACTTGGGTTTTTCTAGGTTTTATTTTGGTTTATTTTTAATTAATTTATTTTTTTGGCTTCGGGTTTTCTGTTTGTGACACTTGTTTATCTCCAGTTCTATGGGCCCAAGGAAAGTGAGAGAGAAAAATTGTAAACTTAGTAGGGAAAAAGGGGAGCAACATAAAGCATTGAGGTAAGGATTATTATATTATGATTATAATAATAATAATTATATACTATAGAACAATATGAGCTAATGGTTTGCTATATTTATATAAGTTAATATATAATTTGTATAATATAAAAGCACATAAAATTTAGTGAAGATTGTGTCATGTACTTTTTTTTTCCAGAAAGGAAAATTTTATTATTGAATAAGCATTAAACTAAAATGTGATGCATCAGGAGCAATCCATTAGAGACTGCAAAGACAGAAAGGAGTCTGACCCTTTGTATAGAGCAAAGTGGATGCAACCCATTATATTGTGAAGTCGAATTTATATTGTTAAAAATAATGAAAACTCATCGAAATTTGAACATAAAGTTTGACTTAGGAGTTAAAATTGGAGCCATTATTCCCTGTCCTTGAGTATAAAGAATGTGACCCAGCTGGAGCTGGACTCACAAGGACACATCAGTTGGGCCCTCAGATATAAAAACAATAGCTAGGACAATCTTGGAAAACATCTTTTAGGAAACCTTTCACTCAGACAAATACTTAGACCGCAAAAACTCACTGCTGTCAGGTCAATTTTAACTCATAGTGACCGTATAGGACAGAGTAGAAACTGCCTCATAGAGTTTCCAAGGGACATCTAGTGGATTTACACTGCTGACCTTTTGGTTAGCAGCCATAGCTCTTAACCACTACACCACCAGGGTTTCCGTTAGAGCACAAAAGACTCACTTATTTTCTACTCTTACCTTTTTCTATTAGCATTTAGTAACAGTAAGATTTGTTATCTTCCTCGCTCTTACTTTGAACATGTTATCAGGAGGGATTAGTCCCTAGAGAGGGACATCATGCTTGGTAAAGTGGAAGGTCAGGGGAAAATAGGAAGACCCTCAAGGAGATGGATTGACACAGTGGCTGCAACAATGAGCTCAAGCGTAATGATTGTGAGGATGGCTCAGGACCTGGCAGTGTTTCGTTCTGTTGTACATAGGCTTGTTATAAGTGGGAACTGACTGGATGGCACCTAACAACAACAAGATTTGTTGGACCAGTGAAGACCCTCCTGACTATCGTTACTGAAATTTATACCGATAATTAGTAAGAAAGACAATTGAAAATATAGATTCACTGCGATTTAGCAGTTTTTAGCTAAACTGTGAAAAGGTGAAACTTTTCATGACTTAACCCATTTGTAATGTAAGTGTATACTGATGATTCTGTAATAGTCCTTGGACTGGGGCACACATAGCTCTGGTAGCATGCTTGTCCACTTCCCACTTTTGCCGCTTGTAACATATGCCGAATAAAATCTTTCTTTTTGCTTTGCTATAACTTTGTGGTGATTTTACCCTTGAACAGGTTTATCCTGAGCAGTTAGTCTATAAGCATATAGGGAGGCCATTTTGATTCCAGAAAAAGCAAATGGCTCCAAGAAACTAGGTACAATGGGGCTTATAAAGAGAAGAGGAAGAAACATAGACGACCAACTGTTAGCTAATCTTAACTTGATTGATTGAACCCTCCCCTCCCCCTTTACTGAGATCCATCGATAACAAGTTGCTTCTGGCATGGGTGCTAATAATTTGG